TATCATAAATCAGTTAAGGAATCTTCTTCAGTTACTGCCTTTGCTGGGTCAGATAAAACATGTCTTACCACCTCTTCCAATAAATGGGTGATCGATTATGGTGCTACAAATCACATGACAGGTAATCCAAATATTTTTTCTAGCTTTCGCTCACATAAAGCACCCTCTCCGGTTACTGTAGCTGATGGATCAACTTGTAGCAGTTTTGGATCTGGGACTGTTAAACCAACTTCCTCTATTACCCTGTCATCTGTATTAAGTCTACCAAACTTGGCCTTTAACTTGATTTCTGTTAGTAAAATTACCAAAGACCTTAATTGTTGTGTTGCATTCTTTCCCGATCATTGTTTGTTTTTAGATCTTAAGACGATGAAGGTTATTGGTAAAGGATATATATCTGGTGATCTCTACATTCTTGATTAATGGGAGCCACGGTCTGTTGCATGCTCTAGTATCGTGTCTCCTTTTGAAGCACATTGTCGACTTGGACATCCCTCTTTGCCTTTGTTAAAGAAGCTCTGTCCTCAGTTTCAGAATATTTCATCATTGGATTGTGAGTCATGTCGATTTGCAGAACACCATCGCATCTCGTTAAGTCCAAGGGGTTAATAAGCGAGCTGGGTCAGCTTTTGAGTTAGTCCATTCTGATGTTTGGGGACCATGTCCGGTTGTTTCTAAAACTGGGCATAAGTATTTTGTCACTATTGTAGATGATTTTTCTCGAATGACTTGGATTTACTTTATGAAGAGCCGCTCTGAAGTGTTTACTCATTTTTCTGCCTTTTGTGCTGAAGTCAAAACTCAATTCAATGCTTCAGTACGTACTCTAAGGAGTGATAACGCTAAAGAATACATGTCAGAGATATTTCAGTCCTACATGAGACAACATGGTATATTACATCAGTCTTCATGTGTTGATACACCCTCTCAAAATGGAGTTGCTGAGAGGAAGAATAAGCATCTACTTGAGACAGCTCGAGCACTTTTGTTCCAAATGAAGGTTCCTAAACAGTTCTGGGCTGATGCGATTTCTACGGCTTGTTTTCTGATTAATCGCATGCCATCTAGTGTACTCGATGGTAATGTGCCTTATAGTGTTCTTTTTCCGAACAAGTCATTATTTCCGGTGGAACCTAAGGTGTTTGGAAGCACATGTTATGTTCGAGATGTTCGACCATCTCTTACCAAGTTGGATCCCAAGGCTGTGAAGTGTGTTTTCATGGGCTATTCTCGCATTCAGAAGAGGTATCGATGTTATTCTACTGAGCTTGGTAAATATTTAGTGTCAACTGATGTGGTATTTTCAGAGACTACACCATTCTTCTATGCACCTCCCATTTCTACAAGACAGGAAGAGGAAGATGAATGGCTAGTATATCAGGTTACCTGTACTTTGACAGAACAATCAGATGATACTCTTCGATTTCCCAGTTCTTCTGTTGAGCACCAATCGACTATTATGCCTTCAGTACCTGCTCCAACTGTGTTAGCAAGACCTCCAATTGTTCAAGTTTATTCGCGAAGGCGAGAGACAAATGATACATGTCCCGCACCAGTTCCAACATCATCTGATCCTCCTTTGCCTGATCCTCCAGATAACCTTGACCTTCCTATTGCTCTTCGCAAACGTACACGTACTTACAAATCGACATATTCTGTTGCTAACTTTGTTTCCTATGACCACTTATCCTCTACGTCTAGATCTATGATTGCTTCTCTAGATTCCATCTCCGTGCCCAAAACAGTGAAGGAGGCTTTGAATCATCCTGGATGATCTGATGCAATGCTTGAGGAAATACATGCTTTAGAGGATAACCACACATAGGATTTGGTAGATTTACCAAAGGGAAAGAAACCAGTGGGATGCAAGTGTGTCTTTACAGTTAAAGTTAATCCAGATGGTTCTGTGGCAAGACTTAAGGCCAGACTTGTAGCGAAAGGGTATGCTCAAACTTATGGGGTGGATTATTCTGACACCTTCTCCCCAATTGCCAAACTCACTTCTGTCCGCTTATTTATTTCTCTAGCTGCGTCCAAGAATTGGCCTTTACATCAGTTGGATATCAAGAATACGTTCCTTCACGGTGATCTTCAGGAGGAAGTGTATATGGAGCAACCACCCGGTTTTGTTGCTCAAGGGGAGTATGGGGAAGTCTGTCATTTAAAGAAGTCCTTGTATGGCTTGAAGCAGAGTCCACGAGCTTGGTTTGGCAAGTTCAGTGAGGTAGTTCAGGAGTTTGGGTTGAAAATGAGTAAGTGCGATCACTCGGTCTTCTATCGGAAATCAGTAGCTGGCACTATTCTCCTTGTTGTATATGTTGATGATATTGTTATCACAGGAACTCAGGAAGTGACTATGCGGGGATTTCTTCCCTCAAGTCTTTTCTGCATACTAAGTTTCATACAAAGGACTTGGGCCAGTTGAAATACTTTTTGGGAGTAGAAGTAAATAGAAGCAAGAAGGGAATTCTTTTATCTCAGAGAAAGTACATTCTTGACTTGCTTGCAGAAACTGGAAAGTTGGCAGCTAAACCTTGCAGTACTCGAATGGTTCCTAATGTGCATCTTATGAAAGATGATGGTGATCCTTTTGACGATCCAGAGAGATATAGGAGATTAGTTGGGAAATTAAACTACCTCACTGTGACTCGTCCAGATATTGCTTTTGCGGTAAGTGTTGTTAGCCAGTTCATGTCTGCACCAACGGTCAAACATTGGGCAGCTTTGGAACAAATTTTGTGTTACTTGAAAGGAGCTCCTGGACTTGGCATATTATATAGCAATCACAATCATACTTGTATTGAGTGTTTTGCAGATGCTGACTGGGCTGAATCAAAAATTGATAGAAAATCTACTACAGGTTATTGTGTCTTTGTTGGAGGAAACCTGGTATCATGGAGGAGTAAGAAGCAAAGTGTTGTATCTCGATCCAGTGCAGAATCCGAGTATAGAGCTATATCACCGTCTACATGTGAGATTATGTGGATACATCATCTGTTGACTGAAATTGGGTTAGAGCATCCAATACCAGCAAAACTCTGGTGTGACAATCAAGCTGCCCTCCATATTGTGTCAAATCCGGTGTATCATGAAAGAACTAAGCATATTGAGGTTGACTGCCATTTTATTCGTGAGAAGATTCGGGAGAACTTGATCTCCACTGGCTACGTGAAGACAGGAGAGCAACCGGCTGATTTGTTCACAAAGGCGTTGAATGGAATTCGAGTTGATTACCTTTGTAACAAGCTGGGCATGATCAATATCTATGCTCCAGCTTGAGGGGAAGTGTTAGATAATGAATGTAGACATAATCTGAATGTAGACATAATCTTATGTAATATACATAGCTAGCATAATTATAGGGATTCACAACAGATTTATGGGATTTCCTTTTTGATTCTTTCCATAGTTAGGCTCTATGTACTTGTATATATACTTGTTACTTCTTGAATACAACACAAGAAAGATTTCTCTATTGTCTCTCTACTTTACATACTGTTAACACATCCGGAAATGAATGCATAAAGTTTAACCAAAATGGTTACAACCGTGAACCATCTCCTAGGCTACTTAACCAATGATCCGATCTACTCTAAATATCTTTTTTTTTGGGCATAAGTGACCTATTCTAAAATAGCTAATTACATCTTTTATTCAATGTGCTCTCACCCAACGGTCTCAAAAGGATCCCCTTAGACAGATTTGGCTAAATACACCGAGGACTCCTCAAACTTGCCAAGTTTTCATTTAGACACCTTAACTAAAGCTATCACCTATCGAATACCTAGTCTATACTTTTTGCATATTGGACACCTAATGGACAATCTCCGACAAGAACGAAGTGCTTGACTCCCAAACGCTATGATATGGCAAAAAAAAAAATCAAGTATGCGACACGTGGAAGATTTTAAAGTAAAACCTCTCATCTAAAAAATTTTATTCAGAATCTATCTACACATCTGTGTCGTCTTCTTCGATTTCCTACCCCCCCCCCCCCCCCAAACCACAAAAAGTACTTTCTTCAATTCCCCACAACACCATTTTTCACTGTCAAAAAGAGTTTTACACCCAGATCTTCAACCCCCCATTCATGCCACAATATAGCTTCATCAACACCAGACCAATGACATCCTTAACTCCCCTGTTCTCTCTTCTGTAATTTAAAAGGCTATCAAGCATACCACTACTGCAGAAAATGGCTAGCTGCGGAAGCAAGCAGTGGGTGAAATTCCACAGTATTTATAAGTTTCCTGAGGATTGCCTTTCACCAAACTTATGAAAAGGTTTGTACAATTGCTCTTCGAAGTAAGAGAAAACCTATGAAGATGTATGCGGGAATTGGTTGAGAGAAGAGACGGAAGGGGTGACTGTAACGGCGTGAATTAAGAAAGGTCGAGGGTGGGGTGAGTGGCAGTGGTGGCGAGAGAGAGGAAGAAGAGGAAGGATTTGATGGTGCCAGTGGTAGCGGAGAGAGAGGAGGAAAGGGACGGGGAAGGGGAAGGTAGGATATGGTGGCAGGGAGAGAGAAGGGGGAGGAAGAAAGAAAACTTAAAAACAAAAATTGTTGCGCCTCCACGCGCTCAAAATTGGTGTTGTACACGTACTATGCCATGTCAAGATTATGTGTCTAATATGCACAGTTTTGAGTATAGATCAGGTATTAATAGGTCACACCTTCTGTTAAAGTGTCAATGAAAATTGTTGGCAAGTTTGGGGGCCATTAATGCATTCAGCCAAAAGATTTTGTTCCTTTTCATATTAAGTACATTTAAACTGATGATGTGGCAACGGACTTCAGCATGTCATATATGAATACTAAATTCAAACTTATAACTTCAGGCAACTACTCAGTGAACAGATTCACATTTGTTGACAAAATAATGACCCAACGCAAGTAAACGCCAAATAGCACTGTGTCAAATGCAGCCATTAATACATATATATACACACACAACTATAATAAATAACTTGAAATGCGGAAGAAATTATATTAAAAGTACCTCAAAAACAAAGCAGTGATTCCAAAAATACTAGGCAATGCAGGGGCTAAAATTGCAAGAGATGCCATCCCTAACCCATAGTAGCACGCAGCAATGTCACAACATGATTGCTGCGGCTGATGACCTACAAGGTTAACAAAACACCAAGAACAATGAAAACAATGCACCTTAAATTAAGTAAAATGAAAACTACTTATGTCAACCAACCTTTTCCAGACTCATGGTCCAAAGATGCAGGATGAGCCTGAAATTGTCCAGCACGATTCGCGACAGCCTTACCCCATTGATAAATTAAGTGCAAATAACTTCCAAACAAGAGGAAGAAAAGTGTAAATGTCCACTCATACATTAGGAGGAGACCAGTCCATGGCATTACTTGGCGTGGGATAATTACAAGTGAAAGCCCAAGGGACACCAGAACAGCAGCAAAACAGACACATACAGATATTCCACCCAGAAAAGCAGGCACCTTCGGCTGCATACAATTTGTGAACTTGTTTCATTATCATCGAAGAACAAGCAATGTAAGTTTATTATAAACTGAGAAAACATTAGCAATAGGAGTAAAAACTTCACAAGCAAAATATGTCATGCTTGATATATAACAGAAAGCCATTCTGCAAGAAATGAGAGGCAATTCACTATTTTGCCAATCTCGTACAGATTAGTGAAAGGGAAAGAGCAAGAAAAATCAGCATGTCACAATTTTACAACCGATAAGGAAGGAGCAGAGATACCTGCTGAGGGGAAACAATGGTGGATGAAGGAACGGAAGAATATGGTAGGACGCCTCTAGCTCTGACCTTGTAGTATAGCTGTCTAACATGGTCCCACAATGATCGGGTCTGCAGACACAAATCTTTTTTCAATATGACAGATACTTAAAATGCTGACAACTACGTAATGACATCATTTTAAATTTCTGACCTTTAGAAAAGATCGATAGTAGCAAAATACTATCAGAAGTAACGGAAACAGAAACAAAAATTTGACAAGAAGTTCATCTCTAGGATTTTTGCCCCCTCCAGTTCCAGGTAGTGATTCTTGAAGACGTACCCTAACATTCTGCAGCATGAGCAAACATAAGACAGTTGTTGGAGATAAGTTAAACAAAATCCTCTCTCACACACCAACATAGAGTGCGCAAACTCAGCTTCAAGCCGCAAACAGCAAAGTGCATAAAATGGCATTTATGTTGAGCAAGGAATCTGTGCTATGGACCACGTTATAAGGGAAGTAAAATTTAGGATATAAATGGAGGAAGAAGACAACAATATCGAATCTAAAATGACTTGCAACAGCTGTGGGCAGTGACTAGAGTACACGGAAGAAGAAAAGTACCTGCCATACGTCAACAGGTTTTAACAGCCAAGATGTCCACCAATCCCATGGTTTAAGTGGTCCCAACGTGTAATGAATAACTCGGAGTTCTTTCTCATCTACCATCCACTACAAATATATAAAAGAAAAAAAGGATTGGTGCAAGCAAGGAAAAGTTAAAATGCATTTAAAGAAAATCAAGCTCTTGCGTCTAAAAAGTTTCTGCTCTAAACATATGCATTCTAAAGTTTACCTTTTCCATCAAAAATGAAATTCTCATTTATTTTCTCATGTAACTGTTACCAGTTCCTGCCATTCAAGACTCCTTTCCTTGACTGATTTCTATTCACACCACCCGCTTATCAAATAACATTTCCCTAAAGGGCTATTGTTCAACTTTCTCCAACAACAACAACAACTACGCCTCAGTCCAAGCAAGTTGGGATCGTATATATGAATCTCACTAACCATGTTACGCCATTTAAACTGATCTCAGGCCATTATTTGATAAAATAAAAATAAACATAAAAAGTACCAGAAGTTCTTTATATTTTTTACTAGGCTAAATAACTCCTAGAAAAGTATAGGAAGTAAAGTAATAGTGCTAACATGACTAAAACATCTTTTCAACTAATAGATACCTCCTATATCGATCTTTTTCTTTTATTGTGCCCTATCTTTCGCAAAGTCTACATGAGTCCTAAGAAATTGTAGGTCCTTCGATCCAACCTCCCCCCAAGTGATTTTAGGTCTACCTCATCCCATTTTAACCCTTTACTCATCATGGTTTCTCATACACGGACCGGTGTATCTGGCGAACAACATAGGACATGTCCATACCATCTCAAGGACCTTCTCTCATTTCATCCGCGATGTAAGCTACTTGAACCTTTATGGTCATTTCTAATCTTGTTTAGTCTTATATGACCGCACATCCATCTTAGCATCAGCATTTCTGCGACACTTATGTTGTGAATGTGTTGGACTTTAGTGTTCACTTGTGTAGGCATCTCTCTATGACATAGCACTTCTCCATTTCAACCATCCGAATTTCGATTCTATGTGTAACTTCTTCATATAATTTCTTGGTGTGGTTCTTCTTTGTATAGAATATGGCTATGTGAATCACTAAGACTGCCGAACTGTTCATACTTGGTAGAATGAAATTAAGCAAACAAAAACTGCAGTAGCTTCCAATGAATGAAGCATGATTGACACAACCACAATAAGCCCACAATATTGTAGCCTCTTCAGGATAATTTTCTCGCACAACCACAGTAAGCCCACAGAACAATGCAAAGCTCGAAACATCACATGTTGCAATTTTCCAATGACTGCTGCAGTATATGACAGTTCTCATGTAAATCATTCTGTGCAAACAGAAATTCCATTTGAAGTCATTGCTTCCAGATCCGAATAATTAAAACGCAAAGCACACAACCCAGCCCACCCCCACCCCCACCCCCACCCCCTCCCCCATAAAAACCCCCCAAAAATAATAAATAAATGTAAAAACAAAAAAAAAAAAAAAAAAAAGGATTCAAAAGAGGCAGTTCCTTGATCCTAACACAAACCTTGTTAGCAAGCATGTAAAGGCCAACATCTGCATTGTAAAGAGTAGAAAGTCTCTCCATTTCAGGGACCTTTCTAGAATTTAGGACATCTGAAGGCTGATTTGGCTCATAAACACGCGCATTAGCAAACCCAACGTAGTAGGAGTTCAGAAAACCTTGATCACCTGTCAGCAGGAAGAGAATGCATCACCTTTTCACATTCATTCTCAAACTAGGAAGACTTTCATTGTTAGGACTACACAAGATAAGCTCGTAATAAGACTAAGAAAATTCCACCTTACACAATAACTTTGTAAGATTATTAGACGACAGAAGATAATCCAAATCCTCCAAAATACAGATTACATATGTTCAACTTTTAAGGTTGGACTGAGAGGACATAACCTAAGAATTAAACAGTTAACAGAAATAGCATACCTCCAGTGTAAGAAGGCAGAGTGGTCACCTTGCTCATCATATCCTTAAAAACCTCTTCTGATGGCTCAATCACCATTACTCCAGAATTTAGTCTCTCAGAATGTTTTAAATTTGCACAAAACTTCCCACACTTAAATAGATCTTCAATGCTCTTTACTACAATAGTATCAGCATCAAGATATACCACTGCCAAAATAAAAGCAGAAATTTCAACATTAAGGACTAGAATTCAGAAAATGTGTCATCTTTACTTTAAAAAAATATGTCATGAATTTATCAAAAAAGCCGAAAAAAGAAAAAGATGCCAAAAGACATGAATACAGCTACATCAATATTAATACTCAAATGCACATGCAGCTGCATCAATATTAATACAGTCTTGTTCCCTAATGACATTAAAACGAATGAATGAAGCTTGAAGAAGAAAACATGAAAAATGATACCTTGAAATTTCCTGCCAAGGTGTTAGAACTGATCGTTTATACCAACTATAATTTAAGAGGAAATAGGTTGTTGCACTTCGCAGAGAAGCAGACAACAATTCACTTGGCCTAAGTTGAACAGCACTTAAGAAAGTTTTAAAACGTAGATCATACCCACTTATCAAAAAAATTGTAGATCATATCCCTTTTTTCCTTTCTGTCCAAACTTAAAATCAAGCTCTCAGATATGGAATTACCTTTCTTGTACTTGGTCATATTAAATACTTTTAGCTTTGTGTAGACGCCCCAAAACCTCGTCGGCCTCACTTGATTCGGGTTTGACAATAAACTAATCTTTTCCACAATCCAGCCATCAGCCTGCACAGGAAGAAACAAAGACCATAAGCCACGTCTACTGATGCCTTAGAATCAGAAACAACTTTTAAGATAGACATCTCAAACAACTGAAAAGACTAACATGGGACTTATTAAGGCAAGCTAAATATAGAATGACAGCCGGAACAACTGAATAGACTATAGGACTTGCTGAGACAAGCTCAATTTCAGTCACTGGTTTGCTTCTTTTTCTTTTCTTTTCTTTTTAAAAAAAAAAAAAAAAAAAAAAAAAAAAAAAAAAAAAAAAAAAAAAACCTTAAATTATACCTTAAAATTAAAGGACGTCAATTACTTTTTTCAATTATTTTACTATCAGTATTCTCCAGGTATATTTGCGTAAAACATTTTTTCATACTAATTTTGGACTCAATTGAGAAACTACGTACTAAGTTCAGTTTGCAACAAGAAAATTACAATAGAACACTTACATAATTGTCAAAGTATTAACTTAATCATATTTACGTTTTGGGTGCTAAAATCTTGTCAATTTTCCCATTTCTTCACAAATTACTTTAGGAATCCCACTAGTTAATTACAATCTGCTGCAAAATGCACGATAAATGGAATAAGATAAAAAAAGAAAAAAGAAAAAAGAAAAAGAGGAAGATCAAAAGATGTTGCTGTAGTAGGTATGTACAGCCAAACCTCTTTATAACAACCTCGTTTGTTTCGAATATTTTTTGATATTATAGCGAAGTGCTGTTATAGAGAACAAATATAATAACATAATTTAAAAATTAATTCCGAAAAAGTTTGGCTTTTATGGTGAGGTGTTATTATATAGGGATGATGTTATATAGAGGTCTGACTGTATATCATATTTTATATCCGAGACAAGATTAAAAAGACTTGTGCTTTTCATTAAAAGTTGAAGAATAATGTACACAATAGCAGAACGTCTGTGTCCATGACACTTGTCGAATATTTACCTGCAGCAGAAAAAAATTATTTTTTTTGGTCAAAGAGAAACTAGTTAATTAGAGTGCTCAAGGGTCATTACATTGAGTATTGGCATGGTAGTGATGGGATGAATATAATTTTATTCTACCTTAATCAGAGAATTTGGGTTCGAATCGAAATGAAAAATCATGATAGATAACACTCCTGTCTAGTGGACCTTAGTTTTTACCTTGCTCCATACTTCTAGCATTATTAGTTGAGCAGTCCGTTACTTTCAGTATTATTCATTTTCTTCTGGTTTAATCATCTGATATCCGAAACTTTCTGCGTTTTTCTACTAAAAATTTATGTATTTTCAGGGGCTCGAACTTGAGACATTGGTTAAAAGATGAATGGATTATATACATCCTCCTACATTCCGTAATGGATAATTCAAATTATTAATTTAAAATACGGTAATTTAAAATGATTAAAAATTCGAACCCGTAAACTTTAAATTCTGGTCCGAAGACAATCTTCTTTTAATTGCGGGACGAAATCTGACATCCGTTAAAGAAGATTCGAGAAAAGATTGGAATAGGAAGACGTGTTTTCAGAAATGAACATGATACGGTCTGTAATTTGATCATCAAGGCATGGCAACAAGTTGACTAGAAGCGTTGATGAGCATACTGAAAGTAACTAGGCTACTAAAGGACCGTTATCATATGGTAGAGCACTACATATATTAAACTCAATATGATCTTACTGGAATTGCAAACTGTCGTAGCATACATATCTCAAAGCCTCTAGTGTTCATTCTCACTAAAGAATATAAGGAACAACCGACTAAAATAAATGCAAAAATATTATAGATAGGGAAAGTTTTACATACTGTATACGTATATCAAACTAGGGCTTTGTATGTAACTAGGATACTAAAGCCTAACATTCCACCAGAATGGTAGCTTTTGATTTAAAAGAAAAAAAAAGGCTTAACATAGTTAGGGTTTTAGGTACTTAGAGCTAGGGTTTTCTTATAAAGACGATTTATATATTTGATTAAGCAGCCGGAGCATAGTCATAATCAGCATCATCATCGTCATCATCTCCATCGTCCACGGACCATGCAGCCGGAGCATAGACATAACCGGTGTCGTCGCCGTCTTTCCTCATCGGAGGTTTACAGAAATGACCATTTCCATTATGGCCCTTTTTGTCCTGGTAATCAAAGAATACCAAACAAATTGAGCTCATCAATATAGTTGAAATTTGGGACATATTGTTAGATTTTTTTTTTAACCAAAATTGAAGAAAAAGAGATGATATATAGTTAAGGGAAGTTGTTGCTGAGCTATAGGGCAGTGAATTTATGAGAAAATATGTGAAGTTATTTAAAGAAGAGAAATGTAAAGCAAAGAGGAATATGCAAAGGTTTATTTTGTGGTATTGAATGCTTGAAGTAAGGATGGCTGGTGACATAATGTGGTCAAATGGCTCCATAATTGTGCAATTCGCATGTAAATCTGATAACCTTTCACAATTCCACAAGGCCAGTGAAACTTGGGATATTCGAATATCACTACTAAAAAATTGCCAAAAAGCGTTCACAAAAGCCGATTCGAAATCGGTCGGAATCCAACAAAAATCGACCGAATTCCGATCGTTTTCAATTGCTCGATAAAATAATGGTCGCAAACGGGGAGCGACCAAACTCGGTCACTATCTACCGACCGAATTCGATCGATAACTGTCAACACAATTTGACCAAATGTTTGACATAATTTAATGTTACCGACCGAACTCGGTCGGTATTGTTAAAAATATTTTTTAATTATTTTTAAATTTCCGACCAAATTCGATCGGAAGTTTAATTATTAATTTTTTTAAATTATTCAATTCCGGCCGAAATCGGTCGGTATTGTCAAAATATATAATTATATATTTTTATTTAAAATTGTTAATTATTTCCGACCGAAATCGGTCGGTATTATTAAAATAATTAAAATTTAATCATAAATTCTGACCGAAGTTGGTCGGTAAATTTGATTTTCTGGGAATTAATATGATCACATTTCCGACCGAAGTCGGTTGATTTTCTAGGTAATTTTTTGCCAGAAAACAACTGTTTTATGCTGCACCACCTGCCAACAACCAATCACCTATAATGGCAGCATTATATTGCTGCCATTCAACCAATAACAACAACAACTACAACAACTACAACAACAACAATAACAACAACAAGAACAACAATAACAACAACAATAACAACTATCAAAACTATATTAACAAAACATTAGTGCCATCTCCATCTCCACTAAACTATATTAACAAGACATTATACCCAACAACAAAATGTTTCACAAGTTAAAAGTTCAAACATCATTCAATGAGTGTTTTGTACTACATCATCTTCATCTCCACTACTATAGCATTAATCGTCGGCATTGTTCGAAGGATTAGCATCTAGCGAAGGCCCATGAGACCGGGGAATCGTGAAAGCACCACTAGCAAGAAGATTGGCTAGCTGACCTTGAAGGATATTAAATTGTTGGTCCCTCTTTTCTAGGTGAAATTGAAAGGTATCTAATTGTTTATCTCTCTTTTGTTCTCTAGTCTTTGTCTCTTCAAGCTCTGTTGTCAGCTTTGCGATCTTCTTCTCCATAGAAGAGAGAGTCGACCTATCAATTGCCTCGCCCTGGGCGGAAGTCCCTATACCTTGCAATCCAGCCCTGTAGCGCCGAAATGGTCTCTCTGGAAGGCCGTATGCTATCCCCTTTTTAGGACAACCGGCAACATCCAACCATATCCTCTGCGCTTCTTCGTCTGAAATAGGTGGTCGCTCGCCTTGCTCATTCGGTGGCAAGCTCTAATTGTACTCCTCCACATTAGCCTTGTAGCGACCCTTTACTTAGAAGATAGAGAATTATTAACTATATAATATTATAAACATTACTTTCAAGTTATAGTAGTTATGAAACTTACATATGCAGTCTCCGCCCAGTCATCGACCCATCTAGATGGATCTATCGGTGCATTCTTCTTCCGGATGTGAGTCTCCATGAAGAACTCATCACGAGTCATCTTCCTCCCATATTTTTTACCTACAAATATAATAAAACGTGTTCACTAAATTAAACTATACAAAAATATAGTTCGATAAAAATAGATGTAAATATTTTAAGGAGTTACCAGTAGTCTCCTCGTAGTCCCCATGCTCCTTGCACCCACATAGTGCAAGGAGCCACCCTTCTTAGATGCTCAAGCCTTCTTTCCTGTTCACTCCTCTTCTCGAATTTCTCGGTGGTCCACTACCTCAGCAGATCCTCCAATAAATCTGGTAGAACTCATGAAGGCTTCTTCCTCTTCTTTCGAGCAGAGCAGAACGAACCAGATAGTCTCTTACGGCATTTGAACACAAAATTTGCAAGAATTTCACTGTTATGTAGGTCCTCCCAGGCACACTTAGTATGCAAATGAAGTGTGTAACATTAAATGAAAATATTGTTAATATAATACTTAAATAGATAAGAATTATATTAAAACCTTAAAATTGATTGAAAATTTGTTGCTGGAGCTCCGGTGGAAAGTCACTCCAAGTCGCATAGGGTGCATTATACAACCGGCCAAGAGTTTCAGTGATTATTTTTGTAGACCGATGATTATGTATGAACCTGCAACATAACAATTACATTAGATAAACAAGAGTAGCTATTATAATTCAACAAGAATAAAGAAGTAATAAACAAATCATACCCATTGCCCTTAGGCCTAATGATTATCCTATGATAACGATTATACCGCACTTCCTCTGGATCATCATCCTCCAATGAATCTGAAGCGTGCGGAGAAGGGGGGCATCTGGCTCAGCACTACTATCCCAAAGGCGAAGTCTAAAAATGCTAGGAGATAAACTCTGTGGAGAATGAGACGGGGTCGCTGATAAAGGTGGATGCGATCCACACCCTTGATGCGATCTAGACCCCTGATGCGATCCAGAGCACTGCTACGATCTCGTTAGCTGAAATCTAGATGGATGTGATCCAGCTGGTGATGAAGCAAACGGAGCAGATGACGGGCGTATCACCACATGGCCCTGT